CTTTGGTACAGCAGGGGGGAGGAGGAGCTGGGAGGATTGGGTGGGGGGCGGGGGAGGATGGGAAGGGATGGGAAGGGGAAACAAAGGAGGAGGCTACCATGCTTGATAAGAAATGTACTCATTATCTTGCCCATGTAATTGTAACCCCTCTGTACAGTATTTTCACAATAAAAAAAATTCCAAAGGAAAAAAAAATAAAGCAACCGGTTAATAACTGAAAAAAATGAAAGCCAATCCAGGCAGGACCATCCTTGAGACTATTCTCCAATGAATCACTAGAAAACCCGAAGTGGCACGGTAGTTTAAAGTGGTAGAGTACTGACTGGCTTTGAGCTAAAAGAGCTCAAGGACAGCTCCCAAGCTCTAAATTCAAGCTCCACCAAAAAAAGTGGGGGGGTGTATAATGTGAGTACAATAAATTATTTCGTTAACTTCTACTGACATTGCCTGTTCATCTTTTCTTGTCAAAGTAAAACATTACTTCACTGTATTAGAATGAGTACATTAGAATAAAATATCCTCCTTATTTTACAGTTACATACAGATCTATAATTGTCTCAAAGTAAAAAATTAAGACAGTTCTTAATAATGTTGAAAAGTCAGTACCACAAAGAAGAAAAAATAACATAGAAGCTGTTCTAGATTAAAAGAGACATAAAAAAGATAACCACTAAGTAGAATGAAGAGATTTAATCTTAGCCTGTTCAAATAAAAACTTATGAAAGGTATTTTGAAAATGAGGGTATTGATTTAAATGTGAACTTGGTATTAGAGGATTTTATGAAATAAACACTAATTTCATCTAAATATTCCAATAGGCATGGAAAATGGTCTCATTTTTCTTGGCATATGTTATTTAAGAGTTATTTATTAAAGATGTTGGGATATGATTACTTTAATGTAACTATCTGAAAATCAGAAAAGCAGTTGAAATAATGTAAATACATAGTAGATCTGAAACCTATGTGAAGGTATGATATAGCCCATTAACTATATTGTCTATTTTAATGTATATTGAAAACTTTCCATGATGAATTATAAATCATTTTATCTCACTTTCTCTACCATATATAGTTCAATTTCTTTGTTGTTTGCTGCCAGCTCATTAGTCAATGGTCACTTTCTCTAGTCCTTCCAGTTTTATTCCCTTTTAAACTATTTCTAACCAGTTGTTCCCTTTCCATTCCTAAATAGTCTTTCATCAATATCACCAGTCATCTCTATAGTGCTAATCTAGTGGTTTCAATACTCATTTGCTTATTTTGCTTGAGCTATCAGATCATCTCCTTCCTCAACCTTGACACATTTCCATTAACTTCCAGAACACCATTTCTCTTGGCATTCTTCCTACTTCACTGATTATTTCTCTCAACATTCTTGGCTAGATTCGCCTCTTCTTATCTTTTAGTGAGGGAGTACCTTAACGATCATATTTTGCCCTTTTCTACCTATATGTACTCTCTTGGCAATTTCATGTAATCATAGATCAAATTGTTTTTTAGTCTTTGCTTTTTAGTCAATGTCAAATTTTTATAATCAACCCACATATATCTCAAGCTGCAGATTTATATATTCAACTCACATTTCCATTGAGATGTTCTGATGGACATCTCAAACATAAAATAAACAACCCTGCATTTTACAATCATCCCTCCAAGCCTATTCTATCAATTGTCTTTCCCTCTCACGCGAAGACAACTTTAAAGTTTTAAGTTTTACAGCTGAAAATCTAGTAACCACTCCTCGATCTCTTCTTCCCACTGATGTTGTACACTCTTCCATCAGAATAACCCAATCAACTTTACATTCAAAATATATCTAAACTTCAACCTCTTTAATCTCCTCTTCCTTTACAAACCTAGTTCAAGCCAACATCATTTTCTTTTTTTGATACTGTGAGCTTTTACTAACTTTCTACTTGGTTTCAATTTTTCCCCTCTTAAGTTTAAACTTCCCAGCATCCAGAGGTATTTCATTAAGACATTAGGTTAGATGATCATAATCTTCAATGTGCTATATTACTTGGAGAAAAACTAAAGTTATTATCATGACTCACAGGGCTGGACAAATTTCAAGCCTTGATAACTTGCAGCCTCAGTTTCTTACTACTTTCCTCTCATTTGGTGCTTAGCAATTCTGCTAGCTTACCCAAGTGTGTCATTAGCACAAGGCCATTGTTGAGTTGGCCTCTCTAGAATATTCTAGATATCCATGATATCTAGATTATCCAAGCATCTCACCTGTTTGAAATATGCTCAGATTTCACCTTTTCAGTCCATGCTAATGGCCTTATTCAATGCACATCCTGCTATTACTTCCACCTATCACAACCCTTGCATCTCTGACCTGCTTTGCCAAGCTGTACTTTTCCTGTGACATTTAACAACTTGTGATTTGTTATATGTTTTATTTGTTTCTTATGTTTTTTGTTTGTTGTCTACATCAGCAAAATATAATCTCCATAAGAAAAGATATTTATTTTTTCTACAGTAGCACCTAACACATAGCAAATCCTCTACAAATGTTTTCTTTTCCTTTTTCTTTTTTTTTTTGGGGGGGGTCCAGTCGTGGGACCTGATCTCTGGGCCTGGGCGCTGTCCCTCAGCTCTTCAGCTCAAGGCTAACACTCTACCACTTGAGCCACAGCGCCACTTCCAGCTTTTTTCTTTTTGCTTATGTGGTGCTGAGGAATCAAACCCAGGGCCTTGAGCATGCAAGGCAAGCGCTCTACCACTGAGCCACCTTCCCAGCCCTAGCAAGCCAAGTTCTATAGTCATTAATCCAGCACCCCATCTTCTAAGGTCAGTAATTCACCAACTCCATATATAAAATAATACCCTTTTATACTGTTCATCAAGTTTGTATTTTTCTGAGGTATCTAGCTCATATTAACACTTGCATTCCTATTTGTTTTACTCAGAAGAGCAGAGTCAAAAACAAAAGTAAAACTCACTAGATGTGGAAAGATTACCCTGGGTATCTTAACGACAGTGATTGCTGCCTTACTGATTGGCCTCATTGTCTATTTTGTGGCTTATGGTGAGTACTCATTACATTTGGCTTTTTAAGATTTGTTGATACTATGCTTTAAAAATTAGGATTTTTGAGAGTTGAAGAAAGAAAGAAATCAGGTGAGTTTTTTCATAGTTGCTAACATTCATCTGTAGCATATTTTTTCATGTTTTTAAAAGTTTTACTGTGCTATCATTGAACAAAAGATACACATTTAATGTATATATTTTGACATGCATTTTACATCTATGATTAATATGTATATATTGAAATATGCAGACACCAATAATACCATCATCATAACTAAAGTATTGAACATTTCCATCACTCCCCCCAAGAAATATAATCCTTTGTGTTTATACTATGTCATTGAGCAATCATCAGCTTAGGGCATTCTAAAACTAAAATTTAGTATAATTTTTAATTTTTTTATGAATAAAGTAGACATGGGTTAGGAAGGTGGCTCAGCAGTAGAGTGCTTGACTTGCATGCATGAAGTTCGATTCCTCAGCACCATATAAACAAAAAGAAAATAGCCAAATATTGGAGTCATAAAAGAAAAAATAAGTCAATTTTAATTCATTCCTTTCATATACATTGTACATAAGTTAGAAAAATTATGAATCTTCTCAGTTTAATTTTTCTTAAAAATAGTTATGAATGCCAACATCTATGTTTTGTTTTTATTGCTTAATTAATTCTTTCTTTTTTTGGGGGGGGTCCGGTCGTGGGGCCTGAACTCTGGGCCTGGGTGCTGTCCCTCAGCTCTTCAGCTCAAGGCTAGAGCTCTACCACTTGAGCCACAGCGCCAC